GTCCCGTCCGCTGCCACCATGATGTGGTTCCTGGAGAAGATCAGAGCGTCGCATGAAAACGGGACTGTTCCCAGCTCCTCTTTCCTGGGACTGCCGCCCGGCCAAAGCCTGCCGGAAAAAGCGCGGCTGGGGGCTGCCGCCTTTCCCAACGTGCTCACCCCGGACAGGATCCCCGAGTTCTGCATTCCCCCCAGGCTGAGCAGTGCCGTGGCTATTAAGGGCTCTGGCTCCTACCAGGACCGCGATGTGGGGGACGCCGATCTTGCTTCCTCCGGCTGCAGCCCCAGCCCGTCTCTGCCGCACCTTATCCAGGTGGAAAGCGCTGAAGAGATCCCAGCCCTGGAGGAGGAAAGCACCAACTTGGACCCGCAGTCCCAAGCGGCGCTCTCGCTGCCTCACTTTCCCCGCGCGCCCACGTCCTACGGCTTCTGCACGCTGCTGGAGAGCCCCCACACGCGCAGGAAGGAGTCCATCTTCCACGGCGACGCGCGCGGCGCCCTGACCGGACTGACGCTGCCAACCCCGTCCAGCGGCAAAGGCAGCGTGTCCAAACCCATCGCCATCAGCTTCGCTTCCGTGAGGCTGCCCCCCAACCACCTGCCTCTGCACAGGCAAGGCGCCTGCGACAGCGATACTGCCTCCTCCAGCGACTCCTCTCCTTTCAGCTCCCCACTGCTCAATAGGTCCCCTCCCCGCTGCTGCTCCCTGATGAAAACGTGGAGCCAGGAGGGACTGCTGTGCCGGGCACTGAGAGCCAAGCACAAGGGCAGCATGGTCAGGAACAACTCGCTGTCTACGGAGGAGAGCAGCTCCACGGACACGAGCCCCAGGGCCATCAGACGGGCTTCGGAGGGGCTGCTGGCTGCACGCAGCTTCAGCATCTCCTGCTCTCCCATCTTCCCCCTGGACCTGTCCCACAGCCGAGAGAGACTCGTGGGGGAGAGCGTGGTGCTGCTGGGCCGGGGCGGGCGGCTCAGGCTCTCCGCCGAGTACTGCTCCGAAAACAAGCGGCTGCGCGTCCGCCTCATCAGCGCAGAGGGTTTGTACGACGACTCTGTAGAGCCCAAAAACATCAACTGCTGTGTCGCCTTCTCCCTGGTGCCAGGGAAAATGCAGAAGCAGAGAAGCACTGTTATAAAGAGAAGCAGAAATCCCATCTTTAATGAGGACTTCTTTTTTGATGGCATTGCAGAGGGAGAACTGAGCAGCCTCTCTGTGAGGATGAAGGCAACGAATAAAGGGTGCAATATGAAAAGAGATTACACCTTAGGGGAACAGGAGTTGTCTCTAACGAGTATATTGTCCATGTAATGCTTCAAACAAGCCAACAGACTCTTTTTGTATTCGGAAAGTTTTCTATTAAATAAAGTATTGTTTTCTCTTTTTCTTAATGAATATTTCACAGTACTGCTTTGTTTGGCAAAGCTCTCATGCTGTTAGTGGTGCCTTAAGGCCTCGCCCTCCCCATGCAAGGGGTTTGGTGCTGGATGCATTGGGTGGTGGCAGGGCAGAGGGCTGTGCTGCCCCAGGATGAAGGCTGGGCGAGCCGCAGGCCGGGGCTGCTGGTGCCCAGGGCTCCCAGCAGACAGGCGCCTGTTCCCCTCTTGCCCCTCCGCGTGCAGTGGCCTGTGTGGGCACAGGGCTCTGCCACGTCTGCTCAGCACAGGGGCTTGGATAGGTCTCTCTTGGATTGCAGCAAGGAATGTTCTCCATGTTGGCAGAGGGAGAGAGCGCTGGGTTTGCTCGGGAAGCAGCCCTCCCCTAAAGCAGGTGCTCAGAGCTTTCCTGGTGCTGAGGAGAGCAGGCTGGAGCCTGCGGAGCTGCAGCTGAACGCAGGGAGCACAGGCTGGGCCCTCTCCTGCAGCAGCTGCTCCTGCCGGCGCTGCTCCTGCCCGGGCACTGTGGGAAGGGGGGTCTCCAGGGCCCTTCCTGCAGTCACAGGCTCCCTGCTGCCAGGCTCAGGGTGCAGGGAGTCGTGTGCTTGGCCAGGGCTGCAGCCGGAGCAGGGCAGCGGCTGCGTCCTCCCTTCACCTGAGGCAGATGGGGTGCAACAGCAGCACTGCAGGGGCGGGGGACACCCCGGGAAGCTGAATTCCTGATTCTGCTGACTTCCCCTGCGTCTTGTTCAAGATATTCTGGTAAAATGAGAATCATCTATCCCTGTTCTGTACCAGCAAACGTCAGAGGGACTGAGGAACTCGCCACAACTGCTCAACCCTCGGAGGAGCAGAGCCCCTGCCTGCTTGAGGTCACGTTCCCTTTTCCCTCCTGTGGACGTGGGCTGGGGACCATGTGGCAGGAGATAAAGCACCAGACCCTGCACTTGTACAATGGGGAGGAGGCAGGAGCCCCGCTGCGGAAGCGCAGGCCTGTTGCTGCCTCCCCTGACGCAGCTGCAGGCTCCATTCTGCAAAGGCAGATAAGGCTTAACGGGGGCAGGCAGGGGCACGGGACAGGCGCGGGCTGCTGCGGGCCTGCCCGGAGGCCCCACAGCCAGGGCCCTGCTCGCACCAGCTCCGCTGCGGAAGGGCTTTCGGGGGGCCCTGGCGGGTTCTGCCCCCTGCCCCGCTCTGGCAAGGCTGTGCGGTGCGCAAGGCTCCTGCGGGCATCACCTGCCTGCAGGATGTGATGCTGTTTTGCTACAGAATCTTCTGATTGCTTCATGTTTAGCTGCCCCAGTAGTGATTTACTTGCCTTGGGGCAGCAGAAGGAGCCTGAAGGACATTACTGTGACCACGAACGCTCGGAAATGCCCTAGTCTTTGATCCTGATCATGTGAGATGCTTCTAAAAATAGGCTTCTAGTACAAAGCATAACTTTCACAGGAGAGCTGCTGGGTATATTCCCAGAATCTGATTAAAATCAAATGGAATAATAAGCCCTTTGTGCTAAAGGAGAGAATTAAATGTACTGATACACATTCGCACAGCTGGAGGTGATACACTGACACTTGTATCCTTGAATCCGGGCAAACTGATCACAAGGGAAAAAAAAGAAGTGGGGAGAAGTGAGATTAGAAAGCACCACTTGAAGGAAGAACCAGTAATGCTGCAAAAATGAAACCTTTTTCATATTTATTGCGTGCCAGGCTGGTTCCCAACAGAGCCTTTCCCTCCTGCTCCTGCCACACTGCACAGGATCTGAAGGAAAGCAGAGACTCCCCCTTCGAGCTCGTCACTCATCCGTGTACCTGCTTTCAGCTCCTGGGACTCTCTGTCCTATTACAGATACTCCCACACAGCTGGGATCAGGCCACAGAGGACAGTGAGGAGCTGCAGCATCACCTGCAGCCATGCTGGGGCGCGACGTGCCCTGCGTTGGGCAGCCCCGCGCCACTGCGTCCCCGACCGCACAGGGCTGGGGCTGGAGGGCACCTTCAGAGCCTGGGGGTCTGAGCTCAGGGACGGGTCAGCTGGAGCAGGCAGGTGGGTTTCAAGGATCTCCCAGGATGGAGACTCCACAACCTGCTTGGGAACCCTGCAATTGCGTCTCATCACCCCCACAGTAAACCCCTTTTTCTTAAGTAGAATTTCCTGCAGTTCAGGTTGTGGCTGTTCCTTCTCTCCTTTCACTGCCTACTGTGGATAGAGCCCGTCCCTGTGTCCCTACAGCTGCCCAGCAGGTGTTTTGGGATGTACTTCGGTACAATCCCCTGAGCCAGCACCTCTGCAGGGTGATGGGAGAGCGTCGCTGCTGGGCTGAAATGCAGCTGCAGAGCTCCATAGGGTCCCATCATCACCAGGAAGGGGTTAAGTCCCTGCCGAAAGCCCTTCCTTTCTGTAACAAGAGAGTGAGTTTCCAGGTGGGCTCACTGAGTGAGGTATTTAAGGAGGGAAAGGGCTTGGCGGGAAGCATGCTGAGGTATTTAAGGAGGGAAAGGGCTTGGCTTTGGCTTGGTGGGAAGTGTGCTATATCTAATGGGGATGAGGAAGTCTCCTTTGGTAAGTTTGAATAAGGCCTTCTGGCTGCTAGGGGGTTACTGCTCTCTCTGAGAGCAGCAGACCTAATTCTAGAGTTGAGTCCAAGTTGGGAAGTACTGCTGAACTTTCCTATCTCTGGTAAACAGTGTAAATTCAGTTTCTTTATTTGTTCATGTTCTTCTCTGGTATGGGCTCTTTTATCATGCTTAGTACCATTTGAACTGAGTACTGAGCAAAGTATGACTCTAATGTTTCCATCAGAAGGAAGATAATTCTTTTTTAAGTTGCATTTTGTCTCTTCTTTGTTTTCAAGTATTTGACCTCTCCTGTGCCTCTGAAGGAGGATGTGTTCCCTCTTAGGGTGTTCCTCTCACTAGCAGTGCAGAGTCATAACACAAGTCAAGGGGCTCTGTTTGCCAGAGCCCCAAAGGGTTCTGGCTTGGTGCTGTGGTGCCCCTGGGCCAGCTCGGCTGTGGGTGATGAGCGTCTGCAGCACCCACTGGGGCTGCAACATCAGTGTGTGGGGCCAGGGCACACAGTGCCTGCAAGAGCAACCTGACAGCAACGGGTGCTGCAGCCTGGGAAAGTCCTGAGGCCTCAGTGTCTATGCGAGAGTTGGCAGCAGGAAGAAAATGCCCCTCTCATGTAAGCAAGGGGCTTCTCAGTATTAAGAAATATCTTGCTCAGAAGTTTCCTAATCTTCTGAAACACCATGCAAATAGGGGAGCATAAAAGTCCTTCTCAAGCCAAGCCTTATTTATTTATTTATTTATTGGTAGCTCAGATGTGGTCAGTGGTACTCACTGGTAGGAAGATCACCAGTTTTGTTTTTAAATGTTGCTGTATGTTTGAGTTTTCTGCATTTAAGAAAGGAAGTTTTTTTTCTGCCAAGATCCTGAAGCCTTGGTTTGCAAAGCAAATATTATTTTCTTAGGCGCATTGGAAGTACCAGTTGTCCTGGCCTTTTGGAGGCAAGTTGTTTTTAAGCATATCTCTTCAAATGATTGTAGCCAAATGTTGCTACAAAGCAAGGTCTTACGTCTTTGTGTTTTGTCTCCTGAGAACTGTTGATGCCCTTTTCCTGATTATGAAGTCCAGGTGCAGAAACACACGTGTGCAGGTTATGCTCAAACACAGTTCACAGGGCAACGTGCTGAAGGACGAAGGGTGAGATGCTGCTCCTGTCACTGTGCTCCTTTACAGGCAAAGCTGAGGAACAGCACCAGGGAGGCAGGTGTCTAAGCTTTAAAAAAAACCTGAGGACAGGTGTGTGGAATAGGGATTAGGCAGAACAGACTGCAGTATCACATTCCAGTTATTGCACCACTTGTTCTTAGCTACTCCTGTTTTTCAAACTGACTCAGGAAATATGCTGCTGGAAATGGCACTTATGCAGTCTGCAAATGCCTCCTGTGACAAGGCTGTTCAGTACGATGCTGCTTCTGTCCTTGTGTGTTGGCTTTGCTGCTTGCCTGTGGTGAAACACTGAATGCATGGTGGGGATCTAAGGGTAAAAAAACCCTGTAGTTTCTAGTGTTCCTATTATTAACTGCTGCAGGTAACCTGTTCTTTCTGCAGTTTTCTGAGGAAACAAGACAAATGTACCCCTGTGTGAGCAGCCTGTCTCTGGGTGGCCGGGAAGCTGTCCAGGAAACCCTGTACATAGGGTTGTCGGAGCGAAGGGGCCCAGTGCGTCAAGGGGCCGGGTCTGCAGCCCCAGGGGCCCTCCCTGCATGTCCTGGGGACTGCAGAGGCTTGGGAGGTGCCTCACTGCCCTGCGCCCATGTGCAACGTGGCCCTGCTTGCAGAGGCGGCCTAACAGTGAACCCTGATATTGGGGTGAGGTGATGAGTCACATCTATTGATGGCTTTTTGCAGCAGGATGTGTGGTTAAAGCAAACAATAGCCTTATGCTAACAAAATGAATGGCATAATATGTTTTTCATTGCTATACATGCTACTCAAGTCTTGTACGTAAGATTCATCTGCATAATTCAGTAAAACAGATTTTCAAAACAGATTTAAATCTAACGGCTGTGACTGAAGTACAGTCTATCAGCATTAGTAAAACGATTAATCGTTCCTTAGAGGAGAAGTCTAAGATGAGGCTGAACAATCTGTGCTCCCTGCTGAGGTAAAGGGGTGTTTAACACTGAGCAGTGCAGGCGGTGGTGGGACCAGACCCGCGGGTGCGCAGGGAACTGTCCTGGCCCCGCTGCAGGCAGGGGACAGGCCCTGCTGCTCCCCGCGGGCTGCGTCCAAGGGCCACGCGGGGCAAGTTGGGGGCTGCTGCCACA